TGCCGTGCCTTTGTTTCCACAGCCAACACGAGAAAAGCTTGGCAAAGAGGTGACTGAATGTAAGGAGGAAGAGTTGACAGCAGTTCTAGTGAGTGTCTTTATGCCTTATCATCATAGATCTTAACTTTACTTTGAAATATAACCAACCTAACCTGGGAAGCATTCCATTCTGCTCCACTTTGCCAGCAGAGTTACCATATAGCCAGAGAAAACTTGCAGCATGGATCCTTTCATAGACGTGTCATTTGCACGCATCTATGTGTGCCCAGGAGACTAGTTACAAACAGTCTTTTAATTCTTTAAGGATGACGGTGAAAGGCAAAATGAATATTATCTCCCAATCCTCCTCCCTAAATCGTAGTTTTGTTGTGAGACAATGATATTCTTTGTGCACACATTGAAAGGATCAGCATGGCAGCCACGTAACTCCCACTGTTGGGAATGTGAGAAGCACTTGTTGTTTCTATGGTAGAACTGATACCATATGAGTAAGTGATGCCATTGTTTCCCTTCAGAAAGAACAGCTTCCAGATCCTGAAGAATATGAAATCTATGACTTCCACTTTTCTGATATTGAATGGACTGAACTAGACCTTGTGAAATGTGGCATTCGAATGTACTATGAGCTTGGAGTAGTGATTCCATTCCAAATCCCACAAGAGGTAAGTGGCAATCTTTATCTGCAGGCCAATCTCTATAGTCATCCGAAGTGAGAATGCACATGAGTGGTAAGCCGTTCAGTTCCACACTCACTTCATTTCATGTGATTATTTATGCCTTGGCTTTCTCACAAGGTGGCTAAAGTGGATCCAAGGCTGAAATTTGGATATCCCCTGTTTTGAGGGCAGATATATGTATTTTAAAGCTGATTCAAGCAGAGCAGCAACTGGTTCTGGCTTCGGGATAGCTCTGTGGAGTGCTATTTATCTGCCCCTACTAATAAAAATAACAAAATCGATTTGCCTCCTTGATCCAGAGCAACATTTCATATTTGAAGCAATAGGGTGTTTTTTTCCCCCTAAGCACCAAAGATACATTGAACTATGCGAAGAAGCTAAGTGCCTGAAATAGAAGGAAAATTGAAAACAACCCAATATCTAGGATCAATGGCAAAATCCATGCTGGATTCAGAGCCAGGTATTTATGTCATGGTGGGGTAGGTGTTTACTCACAGTTAATACCATACCAACTGCTGTAGAGGAGACATGTTCATGCAATTTTAGTCTTGTTTTCCTTATTTTGAAAATATGAGTGTGTCAGGAATAGGGTAATGTGTTTTTATAGCAGAGTGGTATAAGGAATGTGTAAAAGCCAGAACTGACTACACAAAAGCCTTTGACTGTGTGGACCCCAGCAAACTATGGCAAGTCCTTAAAGAAATGGGAGTGCCTGACCACCTTGTCTATCTCCTGAGGAACCTATATGTGGGACCGGAAGCAATGGTTAGAACTGGATATGGAACAACTGATTGGTTCAAAATTGGGAAAGGAGTATGACAAGGCTATATACAGTATTGCCCCCTGCTTAGTTAACTTATATGCAGAATACATCATGCAAAAGGCTGGACTGGATGAATCCCAAACTGGAATTAAGATTGCTGGAAGAAATATCAACTACCTCAGATATGCAGATGATACCAATCTGATGGCAGAAAGTGAGAAGGAATTAAAGAACCTCTTAATGAGGGTGAAAGAGGAGAGTGCAAAAAATGGTCTGAAGCTCAACATAAAAAAAAACTAAGATCATGGCCACTGGTCCCATCACCTCCTGGCAAATAGAAGGGAAAGATATGGAGGCAGTGGCAGATTTGACTTTCTTGGGCTCCATGATCATTACAGATGGTGACAGCAGCCACAAAATTAAAAGACACCTTCTTCTTGGGAGGAAAGTGATGACGAACCTAGACAGCATCTTAAAAAGCAGAGACATCACCTTGCTGACAAAGGTCCACATAGTCAAAACTATGTTTTTTCCAGTAGTGATATATGGAAGTGAGAGCTGGACCACAAAGAAGGCTGACCGCCGAAGAATTGATGCTTTTGAATTGTGGTGCTGGAGGAGATTCTTGAGAGTCCCCTGGACTGCAAAGAGAACAAACCTATCCATTCTGAAGGAAATCAACCCTGAGTGCTCCCTGGAAGGACAGATCCTGAAGCTTAGGCTCCAATACTTTGGCCATCTCATGAGAAGAGAAGACTCCCTGGAAAAGACCCTGATGTTGGGAAAGGCAAGAGGAAAAGCGGACAACGGAGGAGGAGATGGTTGGACAGTGTCATTGAATTTGACTCAACTCTGGGAGGCAACAGAAGTCAGGAGGGCCTGGCGTGTTCTGGTCCATGAGGTCACGAAGAGTCAGACACGACTTAACGACTAAACAACAACAGCTAAAGCCAGAAGGAAGCTTATCAACATATTTGATTGCCCAGTTTTTATCATTTATGCCACAACAACAGGCACAGTTGTCCCCATTAACAGTACCGTCACCATCAGCAGTATCACCATCATTAGTAGTAGCTTGCATTTAGAAGTCCTGCCCTTTGAGGGAATGAAGAATGGTCTCCTCTGGCAGCCATTTTTCAAGGCAGGACACAATTCCCTCTTGAGAGTTCCTGTCTTCCTGAGATTCAGAAGCAGCATGAGAATTGGCTTCTTGGAATCCTAAATAAAAACCTGTCCATCCTTTGATTCTCTTTGATAATTCTTGCCTATTTAACCGATACATTACCAGATGCTTCAGATCTTCAGTTAGCAGGTAGGGTACAAATATTCCAAGTACACTAAAGGGAAAATGGAAAGACAAAAGGAAGGGGGAAGACAGCCTGCTACATTCTCTCCAAACAGGTGCCTTGGACACAAAAAGTAGAACCAGATCTTTAATTTCTGCAAGTTTCTTTCTTGATTTCATGCCACTTACCTGTTCTCACAAAGCAGTCCAAACATTGTGCTCACAAATGTTGTATTTTCACAGGTGCTGGTGAGATTCGTATATTCAGTCAGCAAGGGTTATAGAAGGATTACTTATCATAACTGGCGCCATGGCTTCAATGTTGCACAAACCATGTTCACGCTTCTTATGGTATGTTAATATGATATGTTTCCTGACACCTTCTTTCCCAAGCCACAGTTTTGGTTGAATAGTGGTTGGATTAATGTGGGTCGAGCAATCTCAGCAGGGGTGAGAGCCATTTTTCACCTTTGCCGGCAGCCCAAAATGTTACACTTTCAAGGTGCAGGGTTAAAGGGACTGATCTGAATTTTCTAAAAATTGTTTGTATTCAGTGATTATGTACCGTAAAGATTGCTACAATGTGGCTGAAAGATGGGCTTAAGTGGTTTTTTAGAAGGTGTTTTTTTAAAAAAAAACTGCAAAAGCCCATTGTGCCCTCTAGTGGCCAAATAAAATATATTTAATTATTTTTAAAAATTGAGGGTATGGGGGGGGCTTAGAGGGTGGAAGCACCCTCTAAACATAGCAAAATTTTCCTTTATACCTCTTACAGGGCGCAAAGGGATATTTTTTCACAATCTTTTTTCAAAAATATTTCAAAATATTTCTGGGCTGGGAGGACTGGAGCCCCCAGTGGTGCTGAGGTGCTACAAAAACAATGTCCCTGAAGGCTGCATGCATTACACGGGTCACAAATTGCAAACTCTTTTGTTTAAAGCAACTGCCATTTCCTTCCCAACTCTCGTGCTTTCATACAACTATGTTACATCCTTAATTAACAAGCTGAATATTTGAAAGAATACATCTTTCTAGGTTTTTGTTTGTTTTTTTGTTTTTTTGCAAAAAGATGCAGTTATTTATAACAGCTAAGTTTTTGTGTCTCCACTATCAAAGTCCTTAGGATCTTCTCATTTTTCCACTGATTAGCAAAACTTTGATGGCCACTTGATATAATTTGCAAGAAACTGGGGGCATGTTGAATGAAATAATAGTTTTCCTGATTATGCTATTTCAGAATGCAGTACTGTATTTTATAACTGAGTGCTCCTTTATGAAAAATCATTACAAAGATAGAAAAGAAGCATGTTAAGAATGATGATGATGATGATCATCATCATCATCAAACTGAAGAGCTGAAAGGGACCCTATGGATCATTGAGTCTAGCTCCTGTCTATGAGGCCCTGTGGGGAATCAAACTCTCCACCTCTGGCTCCATAGACCTAAACCATTACATGGGCCAGAATCCTTTTACATGACAATCTAGTTTTCTATACAACATGGTTTTTTTAAATGATTCATTTATTTTGGCTTTTTCACTGCAAAATGCTGCTGGCCATCCTTTTCACTGCATTATTTAACACTAATTGTGATATACTCTGGTATGTGAGTAGTGTTAAGAACCAAAGTTTTTAGGATGCATGGAAAAATGTCCCTGGTACAAAGTTTTTGTTCTTGGTCTTTTTTTAACTAAATGTCATTAAGATCGTTGTTTGAAATTTCTGTTAAGAATGAGCATCAAAATGTGTGGTCCTTCCCCTTGTAGACAGGCAATCTGAAACAGTACTACACCGATCTTGAAGCACTTGCTATGGTTACTGCAGCTTTATGTCACGATATTGACCATCGAGGAACAAACAATCTTTATCAGATGAAGTAGGTACTTCTCCGTATAACTGATTACATTATTTCTTCTGTATGGTACAGTGAGGTAGAGCAGTGGTTCTTAACCTTGGGTTACTCAGGTGTTTTTGAACTGCAACTCCCAGAAACCCCAGCCAGCACAGCTGGTGGTGAAGGCTTCTGGGAGTTGCAGTCCAAAAACACCTGAGTAACCCAAGGTTAAGAACCACTGAGGTAGAGCAAAGCTCAAGCCAGATTCTATGGATGATCACTGACGTTTGAAACAATGTCCTTGCATTTAGGATACACTGGTTTACCCTCGTTCAGACAACCATTGTGCTTCCTTGTTCAGTTCAGTTTTTTCAGTTCCTTCCCTGTTAGGATTGCAGTTGTTCCAACTAAAAAACCTGGAAAAATAGCCTACAATGCACTGAAAAGTAATAAACTAACTGTTTTACCTCTTAATTGTCTTCAACGGTAGCAGTTGTTTTGGTAGCAGTTGTTTTCAGTGCCTAAAGGAGAAAATGGAAAAGACCTGTCTCTGTTGGAAATTTAATCTCAACAAAACTACACAATGCGCTGCCCTTTAATTGGATCAGTAAAAAATGCAGTGAAGCCTTTACCCAGCCTGCTTGTAGGGGTGTCCTTCTTTCTCTTGTGCTAGCATTTAATTTGAGGGAGTATTTAATATATGCAGTTCGTCTACCATACAATTCCAGAAGAACTGAACCACGCGTAATGTGTGCCCATAAGAATTCATTTCAAAGCCTCACTTCTCTTTAATCGAGAAAGCCTAAATTATGAGATCTTCCTCACCACAGCTTCCTTCAAACTTCTTAAAACTGATTTTAAGCTAGTAATATCACCACACAAATTCCATAGATTAGCCAATCCTTATCTGACTAATTGTATGTGTAAAGCACTTATGGCACATAGGCAGTGCTTTACAATGATGTGTACACTAGTAACATGTAAGTTTTAAAAGTGCTTTTGTATTTCGTATATTTGTATGAATTCTTTGGTGTCTGCAGTTTTAAGAATGATTTTATTGTTGTTTTATTTCTGTACTTTGGGGGGGGGATAGTATTGCTTTTCCTTGTAAACTATTGTAGAATGAATGATGTGGCATAATATTAAAATATATTTAAGATCTCTGTCACTGTTAAAGGATGTAAATATTGTGTACATAGTTTTCAGTATGTAGAAAGAAACAGAGTTTTCAGGGTTGCAAAAAAAAAGTCCTTGTAAACTATTGTAGAATGAATGATGTGGCATAATATTAAAATATATTTAAGATCTCTGTCACTGTTAAAGGATGTAAATATTGTGTACATAGTTTTCAGTATGTAGAAAGAAACAGAGTTTTCAGGGTTGCAAAAAAAAAGGGGGGGAATAGTTTATTTTTCTTGGAGAATTTGAGCTTTGATTATGCACTTGCAGAATTACTTCCTTTTTAAAATTGCCAGTGCTCTAATTATTCCCTATTTTGTTCTAAACTCTGCTAATAGATCTCAGAATCCCCTGGCAAAACTTCATGGCTCATCAATTCTAGAGAGACACCATCTGGAATTTGGCAAGTTTCTGCTCTCAGAAGAGGTTTGTGGCCTTGACTGGTACCATCCCAGATAATTTTGTTTACAGTTAGTTGGTTTGTTTTAATAATAATAGCAATAATCTTAGAACTACAGAGCTGGAAGAGACCCTATGGATCATCAAGTCCAATTCCTGTCAAGGCTACACTGTGAGGAATTCAGCTCCCATATACAGCACTTCCATTAAAGTCTATGCATTAGGAAGAATGTAATGCCATGAATTTCGAGGATAAATAATCAAAGTTAAGCACTGTTCTTATTGTTTTCAGATAAGAAACTTAACAATGGGCTCTACTGCATTATGTTCCCAGAGGAAATTAAACAAGCACAAAACTTTTCAAAAGAGCAGTTTGCCAGAACAATAGTTACTTTAATCACTTTTGAAAGCTGGCAGGCAAGAAGAACAGGGACTTCTCAGCAGTGCCTCCATTTAACTAACAGAGAACAACATGCTTCAGCTTGAATTCAGTCCAGATGGATAGGTGGGTGGGTGGATCAGTTGAGTTCCCAGATGTCCTTGGACTACAACCCCCAGAAATCCTGGCCAGCACAGCTAGTGGTGAAGGTTTCTGGGAGTTTTAGTCCAAGAACCCAGGCAAAACTGAGGTCCTTTGGGTGGGTGTCCTAGACATCAGGGGTCTGGGAAACTCCCTTTCCTTTGCGGGGGTGACTCTTACCACCAAGAGTGAGGTTCGCAGTTTGGGTGTCCATCTGGACCCAGCACTCACCATGGAAACCCAGGTGTCTTCAGTGGTCCTTTCCACACATTTCCAGAGGATTGCCCAGCTGTGCCCCTATCTTGATGTGGGGGCGCTCACCAATTTGGTCCATGCACTTGTAGTCTCAAGTTTAGACTACTGTAATGTGCTCTACATGGGGCTGCCTTTGAGACTGACGCGGAAACTTCAGATGGTACAAAATCCGGTGGCCAGACTTCTTACAGAGGTGAAAAGGTACCAACATATTTCCACCATGCTGGCCACCTTGCATTGGCTGCCCATTCATTTCTGTGTTGGTTTCAAAGTTCTTACGATAACATATAAAGCCCTAAACAGTTTAGGACCTCGATATCTGGCAGAGCACCTTCTCCCACCCAGTTCTGCCAGAGTCACTTGTTCCAGCCAGGCCGGGCGGCTGAGGGGCCTGATGCCGAGGGAGATCCGGAGGGAAAGAACGAGGAACAGGGCCTTCTCGGCAGTGGCCCCTCGCCTTTGCAACAACTTGCCAGTGGTGATGCACCTGGCTCCCTCTCTGGGCATTTTCAGGAATAAACTCAAAACCTGGCTATTTGGACAGGCTTTCCCTCCTGTCTTTTCTTAATTTCTTATAGTTTTGCCACCTTGGATCAATAATATAATATATGTTTTTGGTTTTATTGTTTTTAAATTTGTAAACCACCCAGAGTAAACCTTTGGTCTAGATGGGTGGGATAGAAATCCAATAAATAAAATAAATAAACTTCTGGGGACCCAAGGTTGGAAACCACTGTAATACAAGACTCTGGGGCAAAGTGTTCAGGAAAAAAGTGGAGCTATCAAGATTATGTATGACTAATATATATTACTTTTCACTTTGATTTATGGTATTTGCTCCTTTTAGTCCCTGAATATTTATCAGAATCTCAACAGAAGGCAGTTTGAACATGTGATTCACTTGATGGATATTGCCATTATAGCTACCGACCTAGCATTGTACTTTAAGTAAGTTATTCATACGTTTGCTATACAAATTCAAAATGCTGGTGTATTTCTTTAGCCATTCTTATGCTCTCCTAAGCAAGAGAAGGCAAGCAAATAGGGTGGAGGGGGGGTAGTGTTCTTGGCATTAGTCCTTCCATTTTACCTCAAGGGCACCAAGTCTGCTCAGGAAATATACTACTTCTAGTGACCTTTTGAAACAATTATCTGCTTGGTATCTGGGCAGACAAAATGCATACAAGGGGGAAATGTTGTTGTCTGTAGGACTCTTTCAGAGGTGAACAAGCAGAGTCATACATTTCCTAATTAGTCACTGCAATGATACAGGTTAAATCCTACACTGAACTAGGAGGATGGAAGCCTTTAAAATGTCCCTTGGTGCACTCCATGGATGCAAGTTGTCTGGGGAAAAATATTCCGCTGATTAAATCTCAGAGACCATAGGCGTCACTTGACATTCAAGCAAGGGTTCATTGGACAGTAACAGCTCCCTACAGGCCACTGTTTCCACAAAGAAGGATAGTCTGAAGAAGACTAAGGGCCTGTCCACATAGGCATATAGATCAGCGTATAGACTGCTGTTGGTATGGTTCGGTTCAAACCAAATTACGACCTCCACACATGTTTT